TACAGTTTCTACTCGAGTATTACACTCTTGGTGTTGTACGCACTATAGGTTTTGACAAACATAAGACATCTACTAACCATTCACAGCTGTGGTGTCTAAACAGGCTCACTGTCCTACAATTCATCTGTGTTCTGCCTATTTTCTCCTTCCTGGTCCAAATCCCTGACTACTACTGATCTTGCGAACTGTCCATAGTTCTGCCTTTGTGAGAATATTATCTGGTTAGAATCATAGCTTCTATCCTTTTCAAACTGTTTCTCTTAGTAATACATGCATTGAGGTTCCCTGCTGTGGGATGTTCTGTATGGCAAATGTGTTGCTGATTAGTCAATAAATAAAACACTGATTGGCCATTGGCTAGGCAGGAAGTGTAGGTGGGACAAGGAGGAGAATAAAGCTGGGAAGTGGAAGGCTGAGTCAGAGAGACGCTGCCAGCCGCCACGATGACAAACAGCATGTGAAGATGCCGGTAAGCCACGAGCCATGTGGCAAGGTATAGATTAATGGAAATGGATTAATTTAAGCTGTAAGAACAGTTAGCAAGAAGCCTGCCACGGCCATACAGTTTGTAACCAATATAAGTCTCTGTGTTTACTTGGTCGGGTCTGAGTGGCTGTGGGACTGGCGGGTGAGAGAGATTTATCCTGACTGTGGGCCAGGCAGGAAAACTCAAGCTACAGTTCCCTCTTTATTTTCTATTAACTGCATGAAACAATAAGTGCCATTGTGGAATTTTCCTATATATGCCTATTTCATACCATGATCATGACCATATTCATCCCTCTCCATTCTGCCCCTTTTCTTCCCACTAATCCTTCCCTCTTCTCTAATAGTTCCTTCTGGTTTTATATCTCCCCTCACCTTTTCTAAATCCCCATGAGTGAAAACATGTGATACCTGCCTGAATCTGGCTTTTCTCACATAATTTCCAGTTCTATCATTTTTCCTGAAAATGCTGTAATTTCATTTTTCTTGTAATTACTAACTTAAATGACAAAATCAAACCTAAAGCCCTTAAGTTTTTAAATCACTAATTCCATAATGCGTGTTATGTCGCCTGAAGAGAAACACTGTACGTATAGAAAAGAATTTACATTTAGTAAGAAAACTTATGTCTATTAGAGAAAAAAACCAAAAGACCATTGAGATATTTCAGACTTATTTATAACCAAACATTACCACAAAACTATAGGAGCACTCACCAAGAGCAGTATACCCTTACACCTGGCAAGCAAAAGAACCAAGAGAGAAAGGTACTGTGGGTGGCAGGATAGAAAGTGAAGATTTGACGATTTTTGTTGTTGTTAAATCCTTCTTTTCTAACCAAAACAGAACAATGGTCAACTAAATGGTAATTCCTCCCAATTTACCAACCTTACAAAACAGGGGGGGGGGGGGGAGAACAGATAAAATAAGTCTGTCTTGTTTCATCTGTGCTGCACAATACTTACCACTGTGTTCTCCATAAATAACTGACACTGATTTCTCACAGTGCTGGACTGTCAGATTTGTACTTAGTAAAGGACCAGTTCCTGCTTCCAAGATGGTGCCTTGCTGTAGTGGCCTCACATGGCATAATGGACAGATGGGCAAAATGGCCAGGCTGGTCACCTCTCCAGCCCTTGAAGAAGTGACTAATTCCGTCCCAGAGGGCAGAGCACACATGGCCCAACCACCCCTCAAAGCTCCACCTATTAACACTACTACTACTCTAGGAATTGAAAATTCAACATGAAAATTGAAGGGGACACACATACTCAAACTATGACAAAACTCCAAGAGTTCAAGATTAAAATAAATCAAAACAAATGATCAAATAGACTGATTATTATAAGGAATGAGAATAGACTCTTCATCTACAATAAGGGGGAAAAAGAAAATGTTCAAAATGTTGTATGTGAATTGATAGTACTTTATTTCTTTTTAAAAAAAATTTTTTTAAATCTTTTTGAGTTTTAACTCCAGAACTAGTCTTTCTTTTTAAAGAAATACTGTAATTTTTTTGAAAGGTTTCTTGACACATGATCACCTTATTTGTAGCAATCCGTTACATACTGATATACATTGCTACAATGAATAAACTCTAGAAAAAGTTATTATACATTGTAAATAACACTTCCACCTCTTTATTTTAGTAGTCTTACTATGTAAATTCCTTAGACTCCTCTTCCTAGTTATCAAAAAATAAATGTATTTTATTATGTTCATTAAATAAATGTATCCTTAAATCAGTATTTCACATTTCTTAAATAAGCATTTGACAATTGTACTCCTATAAAATACAATTAGTCTAACCCAGATATTCATTATATCACATACTACATAAACTTAAAAAAAATCCACTTAATACATTAGTATCAGATACTAAATTTTTCTACTCAGTATATTCTTCTAAAAGAAAGTTACACTTAAATGTCTGTGATCTGGATTTCTATATACAATTTTCCGATTACTTTTAGCTCCTACTTTCTAACAAGTGATAACTATCTCACTGACCTCCCTTAGTACCCTGTCAGGAAGGCAGCTCCATTCGACATGACAGAAGCAACTAGCAGAACAGAGCACATGCTGGTCCCACATCTCTGAACATCCAGAGCTGTGGGCTAAATACATTTCTTGTGATAGTTAAGTACCCAACTCAGGTTTTTCATTATAGTAGCAGAAAACAAACTAATCAACATCTAACAATTCAGAATAACAGCTTCTATAGCATTTAAGTAGCTGTATTAAACCAGTATTTTGCATAAGTACCTTATATTAATAAAACGATGATAATAGCTAACTGTCTCTTGTCCCATTCCCTTAGTTTTGTTGTTGACTTTCAAACCCTTTTAGTACAAAAATAATCTGAAAATACAGTAACGGAATCAAAACATTTCTGTTCCACCCAATTCCAGCATACCACAATTATTTTCTTTTTTTTCGAGACAGGGTTTCTCTGTGTAGTTTTGCGCCTTTCCTGGAACTCACTTTGTAGCCCAGGCTGGCCTCGAACTCACAGAGATACGCCTGGCTCTGCCTCCCGAGTGCTGGGATTAAAGGTGTTGTGCTACCACCGCCCAGCCACAATTATTTTCATTCCTCAAAACACAACAGGAAAACTAAACCACTAGTGGTAAGATACCAGCTACTGGGCTAGTATATAGCTAGGGGGTAAGAGTACTTGCTTAGCATGGGGAGAAAGCAAGAGGGAGGAAAGTGGGAAAGAAAACAGTTTGAAGTATCTTTGATGTAGAAAAAAGTTTTAATTTAGAAAAGCCAAGTTTGGTAAACATGTCTATAATCCCAGCACTGGGGGCTGAACTGGGAGGGCACCAGTTCAAGGCCAATGAAGACTGGAGAAGGAGGGAAGGATAGTAATGGGGTTGTCTTATGTTCTGATTTGGGAGGCACGCTGCAGGTCTAATGTGGTCTGGCATGTAGTAAGTCTCTCCCCTAGTCCTGGCTCAGTGATTTATAAATTAACAGAATGAATAAATAGTTAAAGAACATATACTGGACTAGGGATACAGCTCTGTCAGTATCGTGCTTGCCTAGCATGCATGAAGCCCTGGATTCCATCCCCAGAACTACATAAACCATGCACAGTAGTACATGCCTGTAATCTTAGCACTTGGGAGGTGAAGGCAGGAAGATCTAAGTTCCAGGTCATCCTCAGTTACATAGCAAGTTCAAGACCAACCTGGGTAATCCTGTCTTAGAAAAACAAACAACAAACAAACAAACCAGTATTTGATTTTTTGAAAAGACCAACATAGATCATAAAGTTTTTAGAGATCAAGAAATATTGAGATTCTCTACCAAATGTAATCTTACTATCAATCTTACAAACTGTGAAGTGGGTTCTCAAATGAAATCTCTAACTGGTCAGTCTTTCTGCCGTTATGACTTTGATAGCCTCCAGTAAAAACTGACATGGCTTATTTAACATAAAGTATATCAATAAAATATGTTAATAGCAAAGGGAACAGGAGAGAAAAGTGAAAGCTGAATGAATTCATTCCTAAAACAAAATATTCTAAATGATGGGATAATTCAGACAACACTCTACAAATCTATGTCAAAGCGATAACCCACATATTAATTCAAGTTCCTTAAAGGTGTATCAAAGCAAGCCCTAAACAACAGCCCCTTAAAGCTCAAAAAATCCACCCCCTACCAAAGTATCATTCTTCCTTTTTTTATTTTTATTTGTTTTGAGATTGGGGCCCTGCTGTGTAGAAAAGATACCCTTTTCAACAAGTGAAACTGAAAAAAACTAGACTTCCAAATATAAAAAAAATTAGATCCATCTTTTATCCTGCACAAATCATCTCAAATGGATCAAAGAATCAAAGCAGATCTTAATGTGAGATTTCAAAGAGCTAGAGAAGTGGTCCTCACCCTTCCTAATGCTGCAACCCTTTAATACAGTTCTTCATGCTGTGGGGACCTCCAACCATACCATTATTTTTGTAGCTACTTCACAACTGTAATTTTGCTACTGTTATGAACTGTAATGTAAGTATCTGATATGCAGGATATCTGATATGTGACCCCTGTGAAAGGGTCATTTGACAATGCCAAGGGGGGTCACAACCCACAGGTTGAGAATCACTGTGCTAGAAGAAAACATAGGCAAAACCCTTCAAGACATAGGCTTGTTCAAGACAAGGACTGTTCTGAAAGGACCTCCAAAGCACCTGATAAAATCCCAAAATGTGATAAACACGATCACACGAAAAAGGAAGTGTCTGCACAGCAAAGGAAATAATCCCTGAAATAAAAAGAACACCTCCAGAATGGGGGGAGGGGATCCATGTCAACTACATGGTGGGTTATACCCAGGATACATGAAGAATTACAAAGTTTAAACACCAAAACAACCAAATCATCCAATTATCTAAGGGGCTACTGACCTAAATAGACAGTTCTCAAAAAAAACAAAACAAAACAAAAAAATGACCAACAAATGCTTGAGAAAAAGTGTTTGCCATCCTTGGCAATCAAGAAAATGTCGGCAGTTCTATCTTTCTGGACCTGGCCGAGCAGGAGGCGCCATCATGGGTGTTGACATTCGCCACACGGACCGAAAGGTTCGGCGCAAGGAGCCCAAGAGCCAGGACGTCTACCTGCGGCTGCTGGTCAAGCTGTACAGGTTTCTGGCCAGACGAACCAACTCGACCTTCAATCAGGTTGTGCTGAAAAGGTTATTTATGAGTCGCACTAACCGGCCACCTCTGTCCCTGTCTCGGATGATCCAAAAGATGAAGCTTCCTGGCCGAGAGAACAAGACAGCTGTGGTTGTGGGGACAGTCACAGATGATGTGCGGATTCTCGAAGTGCCTAAACTGAAGGTGTGTGCACTGCGGGTGAGCAGGCCGCGCCCGAAGTCACATCCTCAAGGCTGGGGTAAGATCCTCACCTTCGACCAGCTGGCCCTGGAGTCTCCCAAGGGCCGTGGCACTGTGCTCCTGTCTGGTCCTCGGAAGGGCCGAGAGGTATACCGGCATTTTGGCAAGGCCCCAGGAACCCCACACGGCCATACCAAACCCTATGTCCCCTCCAAGGGCCAGAAGTTCGAACGTGCCAGAGGCAGAAGGGCTAGGCGCGGCTACAAAAACTAACCTTGGATCTTACTGTTACTATAAAAAAAAAAAAGCTTTGGAAAAAAAAAAAAGAAAATGTCATTCAGGAAGCAAAGGACAACAAACACTAGCCAAGGTTTAGAAAAAGCAAAACTCTTATTTATTGATGCTATGAATGTAAACATGTACAGCCACTATGGACCTCTATATGGAGAATCATCAAAAATAAAACCACCCACCCCCAAAAAAAAATTCTTGAAAAGATCAGAGCTACCACTACTCCATACCTCATTAAAATCACCCTCAAGTATACACCCAAAGAACTCCTAGTCAACATGCAAAGAGGCACTTCCTGATCCATGTTACAGCTGCACTATTCTCATGAGTGAAGACGGGACAAGCACTGATGTCCATCAACAAGACGACTGAAGAAACAGAGTACATATACACAGTGGAATGTTATGAAGCCCGTCAGTAAGAAAAATGAAATGACATTTGAAGGAAAATGGATGCAACTGAAAATCATTACATTAAGTGGTATAAATTAGTCTTAGACAACTAGCATGTTTTCTCCCATATATGGAACATAAATCTGAGTGTGTGTGCATGTGCTGTCATCAAACTAGAAAGGGAATCAAGAGATGGAAAGAAGAGATCTCAAGGAAGCAGAAACTAAGGTACTGGAATAGATGAAATGAGAAAACGAGAATGAGAAGAAAGGAAACCAGTGGAAAGATAAATGGGGAGGTAGTGAGGAAGAGGAACGAGTGGAAAGACAACACACCACAATAAAACTTCACATTTTGTATGCAACCTTAAAAAACAAAAAAATTTCCAAGCATAAAATAACATAAAATAAAATATAATATAAAATAAAACATAAAAGGGAATATACTAATTAACTTTAAAAACATTCTATCATCCTAAAGAGGAACTACTCCCTCTCAAGATATCCTTTAGCTCAACAGTTTCCCTGTGTCTTCTTTCCTAGCCACATCCCCTGAAGATGTCAGCACTGTGTTTCTTTCTCATCTCCCCACTCTCCCATCTGTCTAAACAAGGGAAAAGGCGAGAACCAAATCTGAGATTGTCTTCTAACCTCTATATGCAACTGCAGCATATATACGCCCATCACTCACACACTCACTCACACACACACACACACACACACACACACACACACACACTGGGGGGGGGGAGCAAGAGACAGAAACAGAATTGAAACCTACCTCCCTAAGAAACTCACTTTATGTGCAAAGACATAGAAAGCATAAGCGTTTTTTTCCAAAGAATAGGGAAAAACATGCCACACAAACAATAATTAAGAAAGCTGGAGTAGTATGTTAATATGAAATACATTTTAAAACTTACTTTTAAAGCTTAATTATATTGGCTTCCCAATACTTTAATTTTATTACTTCTGTAGCAGTTTTAAGATTTTTTTTTTTTTTAATGTGTACGGGCACTCTGTCCCATGTAAGTCTGTGTATCACTCATGTGCCTGGTACCCACAAAGACCGCACCCCTGGAACTGGAGTTAGAGCTGGTTGTGAGCCACCATGTGGGTGCTGGGGAGTGAACCCAGGTCCTCTGAAAAAGCAAGCTATCTGAAGCTCCTGCCTGTTATTAGTTTTGAAGCAATAAAGACAATTACTGTTTCATGTATCCCATTCATATTACTTATGTTAATATCTAAGTAACTGTTCCTACAGAAATACAGTGCATTGCACTGAAGTCGCCCTACATGAAAAGTTCTTTCACAATAAGGGTTCAAGTGAATGATAGCTTAAAATTTTTCTTGAAGTTATTAATATTTATACTCCACTAGAACACAAGCTTCACAGAAACATCTTCTTACAGACTATCAGCCATATGTAACAGTGCCACAACTGTATTTACAATAAAATACCATATATGACTTGTAAATGTCATTGCTCTGGGAATTTTCAAAACATCATTTTCTCTTGATTACTTTTTTCTTTTAATTATTTTCTCCTACAATACACTGGAATACAAGGACAATGTAGATTAAGTTTCTGTACTCTTTCCTGGTATGGAGTTAAGAGAAACAGAATACAAAAAATGAACAAAGCTGCATATACAAACATCCTTTCCTATATTGTCAGTCCTTACGTTTTGTTTGCTCACAGTTGAAAGTTCAGAACATATACAACAAAGCACTTTCTAAATAAATGACAATAAAGTCCAACCTCGCTGTGGGAAGAAAAAAAACACTTGTGGAGCCAGTTCCTGGTATGCAAGATCCCAACTTCCCTTCCGAGCTCACTCACACCCACCCACCCCTTAAACATACAGCAACTGAAAAGAAAGGCCAACAGGAACTGCACTGAAGAAATTTACTGACCAAATCTGGACAACTGCAGTAAGTACCAAGTCTGATAACAAACAGCCTTTAGACTCAGAATCCTTTCCTACAAAATACCTATTAGTTACTAAAAAGAGTTGAAGATCTTTCTAGGTTAAGAGTCTAAAGAGAGCCAGACAGTGGTGGTGCACACTTTTAATCCCAGCACTTGGGAGGTACAGACAGGTGGATCTCTGTGAGTTGGAAGCCAGCCTGGTCTACAGAGGGAGTGAGTTCCAGGATAGCAGGAACTACACACAGAAACCCTGTCTGGAAAAATCAAAGGAAAAAGAAACTCTAAATAGACATTAGAATGAAATGCAAACCGGAATGCTGAACACAATTCTTTTGTTACAAAATAAATAAGGAAACTGGCAAAACTGAATGCAGTCTGAGGTTGGATGGCGGCAATATATCAAGATTAATTATTTGACCTGTATGTTTACATTATAATTATATAACAACTGGACGCCTTTTAATCCCAGCACTCAGAAGGCAGAGGCAGAGGGATCTCTGTTAGTTGGAGGCCAGCCTGGTCTATACAGTGAGTTACAGTATAGCCAGAGCTACATAGCAAGACTGTCTCCAAATAATAATAATAATAATAATAATAATAAAAACAACAACAACAACATAACAGAAAGTCCTTGTTCTTGTATTCATTTGAATGATTAATAAAATGCATCTGCAACTGACTCTCAAGTGGTTCAGAGGGGAAAAAATGCTTAAACTAGACTTATAACTCTTTTGAGAGTTTGCATTTTAAATAATTTATTTAACTTTATTTTGTGTGCACTGGTGTGAAGGTCCCCTGCAAGTGGAGTTACAGACAGTTTGAGCTGCCATGTGGGTGCTGGGAATTGAACCCGGGTCCTCTGGAAGAACAGTCAGTGCTATTAACCACTGAGCCATCTCTCCAACCCCAAAAGTTTGCAATTTTTAAGTAACCTACAAAACTTACAGCATCTAAAAGTCTTATGTAATCAAAGTACTTTTGAACAGTGTTTCTCAAACTGTGGGTCATGACCCCTTTGGGAGGTAGAACAACCCTTTCACAGGGTCGAATATCAGATATCCTGCCTATCAGATATTTTCATTACAATTCGTAACAGTAGCAAAATTACAGTTTTATGTTGGGGTTCACCACAACATGAGGAACTGTATTAAAGGGTTGTAACATGAGAAAGTTTGAGAACCACTGCTTCAGAGTGCGCATTTTCACGTATTTTTTTCTTCTGGCAATAGAGATAAAACCCTTGTACCTGTTAAGCAAGTGCTCTACCACTGAACTAAATCACCAACCCTATTCTTGATGACCTCTAATCTCTAACTGCCATGGTTACCTTACTGGATGTCTCCAGTTCCCCAATTACACTGGCCAGATTTCTTGTTGCTATCAGCTACTATAGTAGGCAATGGAGACACCTGGTATTTACATCACAGAAATGTCTAGTGGACAGCAATGATCTACAGGTGGGAAGGACAACTGATAATAATGACTATCTATAAGCCAACAGTAGATGGTCCTACGTATAGATATGAAGCAGATACTCCAATACATTTAATCTTTCTAGAAGCTCAGAAGTAAAATAGACTAATACATCTAATATTACAAAGCTATTGAATGGAATTTATGGAATATCTACAACTAAAAGGTAAAATATCTGCAGCAGATTGGCTAACAGTAATTATTTGATTAACACTAGGTGTCTTCTATACTGGGGTAAATAATTTCTTAAACTGATTTCAATACTGTTAGTCAAGCAAAATACACAAACACCAATTTGAAAATAAACTTAAAGTCCTACTTGTTCAATAAGCCATTGAGTTTTGTACTGTTATTTCCAACAAAAAATGTGATTCTTATCCAACTCCCATGCACATTTGACCCTACTGACTACACTCCCCTTGAGATACTCTCTGTGGCTTCTGTCACAACACACAGACTCCTGCTTCTCTGACCTTCAGTGTTTTGGGGAGATCACATCCTTCCAGTAAACTTGTTAAGGCCACTGTGTTTCCATCCTAGGGCATCTCTCTTTTCTTCCAAGTTATATTCATTCCCTCCCCTGGGTGATTTCACCCATATGTATTATTTCAAATATCTACTCAAGGTTTTTCATCTCCCCAGACTACTGCTAAAAGCCTCCAGATTTATCTTTCCACTTCCACTACTGCTGCCTCTCCTTCCTTTCAAGACATATGGCCAGCACGCCAGTTCTACCTATCCTACTGAACTACCAAAAATACAGCCAACACGGCTTCTAAAGGAACATTTTATTTTTAAATAAAAAGACAGTTACAACACTTTGCTTTTAGCTAAATACTCAAGGGTTTCTATATTGACAAATGACAGATTCAAGGTCACAAACTGCCACTTTTAAAAGGACTCCTGGGCTAGACAGATAGCTTAGCAGCAAAAAACACTTGTTGTTCAAAAATGAGGACCAGAGTTCGGATCCCAGCACCTATGTCAAATGGCTCACAAACACCTGTAACAGGAGTTCTGGGCTATGCAGGCACCCATGTGAACAGACACTCAAGAGACAAATATGTGTGTGCACACATAAAAAAAATAACAAAAACATGGACTCTTCATATGAACATCTGAACGTGGTTTACATGCACAAATGTAAATAACCTTTAAAAATCTTATTACTAGCTTTAATAGCTACAACAGAAAGCATATGAATGCAC